AGTACACCAGTTTTTGATCCATTTATTTTTTGGAATAAACCTGGAGTACACAGCTGCTGATGTAATGTTCAGTCTTAATGCATAGTTTTCAAACATTTACCCTTGAAACATTATACTTTTGAGTTTCAGAATTCTTGATGATCAATATCAGTCAAAATAGAAAAATGGGTTCCCATGATGAACGTTTACAGAACCCCAAATTAGTTATCGTGGTTTCCCATTGGGTAATCCGACGGAACCGAAAAACGGTTACCATGAATTTCCGAAATCCTCAGGCCTGCTCCTGAATTATTTAAATTTTTGCAGCATTTGTTTATAATTGTATGTATATGTTGTTGTTTGTGTTATTATCATATGCAATTGAATAAGTAGACCATTTCGGAATTTGAAATTTGGGACTCTCTCAATGCATAAGGAGACTCATACTTTTCTGATCAGTGAGTCCCTGGGACTCGCTGCAAGTAAACTGTAAAATTATCACTGAGAGATTACCGCTTTTTCTGCAGTCGGTGATTGACTTCTATGCAAAGTCATTTCTCAACTTGTGTTCCGTGCCATGTCATGCCTGTTGAGTGTTGATTTAGTTCATATTGAGAAACTACTGCACTAAAACATTCATTCAAAAATGTATATCATATGATTTTATTTCTTTTTCTCAGTATAAATAACACGTACCCTGACTGTTCTACTCTTTGAATAAAATCACTTCTTTCAAGCATTAGGGAGTGCAAAGGGTTATGATGGAGGGGTGTTAATCATGAGGACCTGCCAAGTGGTATGATCGCATTGTTTTATACATGTCCTTGGCTAGGCCTCAGTTTCAAAATCAGTCCTTGGTCCTTGGCCTTGGCCTCGGAAGCAAGTCCTTGGTCCTTGGCCTTGGCCTCGGAAAATTTCTCAAGTCCTTGGCCTTGGCCTTGCCTCGGAAAATTTTCCAAGTCCTTGGCCTTGGCCTTGGCCTCGGAGGCAAGTCCTTGGCCTTGGCCTTGGCCTCGGGTTGCCGGTCCTTGGACACAACACTGTCACACTCACACCGAGGGACAATTTTGGGCGTTCAATCAGCTTGCCATGCATGTTTTTGGAATGTGAGAGGAAACCGGAGTACCCGGAGAAAACGCACGCAGGCCCGGGGAGAACATGCAAATTCCACACAGGGAGGCCGGAGCCAGAATCAAAGCCTGCACCTCTGCACTGTGAGGTCGATGCGCTAACCTCTAGACTCCATCTACACATCCATCCATCCATTTTCTGATCCACTTAATCCTCACAAAGGTCGCGGGGGGTGCTGGAGCCTATCCCAGCCGTCTTCAGGCAGTAGGCGGGGACACCCGATTGGATGGTAACTGGTTCAGGGTGTCCTCCACCTACTGCCAGAAGACGGCTGGGATAGTCTCCAGCACCCAATGCGACCCTTGTGAGGATAAGATAAAATGAATCGATGAAAAAAAAAAATATATGTGTGTGTGTGTGTGTGTGTGTGTGTGTGTGTGTGGGTGTGGTGTGTGTGTGTGTGTGTGTGTGTGTGTGTGTGTGTGTGTGTGTGTGTGTGTGTGTATAAAACAAGCACAGTAAAGATTTTGCTTTATTGTTGCAATAAAAAAAGATGAGAATCTAATTGGTCCAAGCAAGTGAATTCTCTATCCTGTGAGTGAGTGCTTCAGATTCACAATGTAACGGTGGATTTATTAATTTTTTTGATTATTATCAATTTATTTCACAACAAGCAGGAGCAATATGAGTGTACAGTTCATCTAAAAAGAGGTTTCAAACTATTTATTACCACTCCCGGTTGAAGTTCACGGTCAAATTAAATATCAAACAATTATACCTAATGTTTTTTGAGCCCTTGGTATTTCTCCAGTTTACATAAAAAAGCCATAAAAAAAAAAGCCATAAAAAAAAAACAAAACATTATTTTATTTTCAGAAATGTGTTAACAAAATTATTCTCTGTATTCTTTACGTCATATTATTTCCACTTAGTCGAGTGGCTTTCAATGTTATTTATGTTACAATAACATTGAAAGTCACTCGATAAATAACTTATTTATTATGGTAGAGTTTTTAACCAATCATATTTCAGCTAGCTTGTGTTGCCAGGTAAATTAAACTTGCTCGGGGCCTTCAGATTAAACAGAGCAGGCCCCTCTGCGCTGTAAGTGAACGGGCACAGTCAGGTTGCAATAGCCAATCAGATCACGATTCTGCGTACCAGGGCCAGCTAGAAGGTCTTACGTCGAGACTGGACGTGCGCGTTCGGTGATTGGAGTAGCGCCTGCTAGAGGGAGCTATCACTGCATTTTAACCCAAAATATCCGAAGGAGAAGACGTTGATCTCGTTGCAGAACTACTTTCCACACAATTTTCAAGACGGACCTTCCACGAAAAGCTGGATATTGTGCAAAGAGGTCGCCCAACTCCTGCGCTAGCTAGCCTGTCCCAGCAAGGAAAAGGGTTTGTCCGTCATTTTCAGATGAGCAATTATGAACGGTACCCGTGGCTCACAGCCTCTGAGAAACGCTGCAAATTGTACTGCTGGGAATGCCTATTGCTTGCAACTGACCGATTTGGTGTTTGGAGCTACACTGGATTTACCAATTTAAGTTGTTTTACCAAGGCAGCAAGGAAACATCAGAGCACGGCTGGGCACTTACAAGCTACGGTGCGTTTAAAAACGTTTGAGGACACTCGCGCAGATCCGCTGCTCAGTGAATAGGCACACCGGGAGACGGAGCTCCACAACAAAAAAGTAAAAAAAAAAATAGGGAGATTAAAATTATGCCAGAAACACGACCGGACAAAAACGGCTTTCAGCATTAGCTTCCATGTCGGTAGAAAAGGACTTGCTGATGGACCTGAAACGAACAGAAGTGAGAAGTGTACAACAGAGCCACTGAAGTGTTCCTGAGAAAAGAAAGGAGGATCGACTTTATTTTCAAATAAGCAGAAGTGTGGAGAACTACACTGGTGAGTAAATTAATTTTATTTTACATTTCTTCTTGTCATTTTATTTCGTTAGTATTAAATTAATGGTAACGAAATAAAATAAAGAAAAAAACAAAGATACAAAAATGTATCAAGTAATTCTGCTCACCTGCAATTATAATGGCACATTGTAGTCACCTTCGTGCACGAAAGTTCGTTAAATCTCAGCTGCTCAACATTTTCAGTTATTTGCTGTTGTATAGCCTCTTCTCAAAATGCAAATGATCTGTTAACTTTATTTTCAAAGAATAGTTTGTTTTGTT